ATGCACTGATACAGAATTGTCTCTTCTCTTCAATAGTAGTTATTCTGGAAGCAGTACAAGTAAGAAGATTTTACGTATTGTGGACAGAATTGCTAAATCCAAATACTTCCAGAAAGCAGCTGAGAATTCATATGTTAAAAAAGCTATAGAAGAAGTATCTAATTTGCCATTGGTGCTGACTGTTGAAGTGAAAGGTTTACATGGAACACTCGCTGTCAATTTACCCCCGCCTCCTTCTGATAGACTTTGGTAGGTAGTATTTGTCACTGTTTATGCACTCTTTCGTATACTGTGATATACTGTAAATATAGAATTATTTTTTTTTAATTTAAAATTTTTTTTTGTTATGTACAAAGTTTATTTTCACTGATTTTTGATGAGTTGACTGTAATATATGATATTATTGATTTATCCCTATAGCGAAAACAAAAATCCAAGTGATAGGTACTTTACAGTAATTTAATGACAATCTTGAAAAAAAATAACCTTAAATATACTGAAAAATACAAACGTGAGTGACACTGAGCTTGCAGATCCAGGTAATACTCCCACTTACACCCTTGCAGGAGTCAGATTGCCCAAAAAATTACCCCAAAACAGTAAAAATTCTCCATAATAATGGCATGACAGAAAATCCAGAATTGGTGATAACTGGATTCATTGTCTTTATACAACATCGTATACATGACAACGTTTGTGACTCAAATCAATGTAAAGATGTATATATTACTAAATCACCTAACTAAACATCACAGCATGTCTTCCATCAGCCACTAGGCATCAAGTTAAAAAAGATGCATAAACAACCAAACTTATTCAATACTGAGATTGTGAAACCTATGCATGCTGATTCAAAATGCAGCATAACCAGATGGAGCCTCTTGACTCGGCTGTTTATGAGTTTCCCATTCACTTTATGCCTTCAGTAGGTGATCTACTGTAAAAACCCTATTAATTCACCCATCTATTTTATTTTCAAAAAATAATTATTATTTGTATCCTATTAATTTGCTACATTTCGAAATATTTTTATTAGAATTTTATTTTATTAATTCGCTCACTTAAAATTCTGTCAAAACGTGTATAGAGAAACATAAAACTTGTTTTCAGTTTGTGATTATCGTGTTTTCATTACTAATCACCAGTGATCGCAGCTAGTGGTACCGAGGTGCAGTCAAGATTTGACGGCGAAAAATAATGTTTTATTCACTCAATGCACTAAAGATGTTTGGCTGGATAATTACATAGTCGATTAACATGCAATGGCATCGAAATAGTACGATAACCACAGAGTTGAATCGACATATGTCCACCATTTTGGAAAGTATTAAAATGCATTGCATGCAAGGCTCTCTTTGTTCCTTCGCTGTGGCGCAAAATACAACACGTCTCAGTGATTGGCACTTTGTCATTCTTCCATGCAATTGAATGGCTAGAAAATAACATTTTGAGTGTGGAGAGATTCATGGCTTTTGGTTGAGTTGCCAGCTGTCTGCTTTACTTGTCTACTTATTAGCCACAGTCCCTAAACCGTCTAAAGACACGAATGAACATCTTGATCACTATCAAATTGGTGAAAACTGCTTCCAATTGAACCGATCAAAGTGTATCCTATTAATTCGCTTACTCCCAAAAGAGTACCTATTTTAATTACTGCGAATTAAGTGTTACAGCATATTAGGATGTGGGTTAAAATAAATAAGTGATGTATCCTGTCTACATTCACTGATTCTATGTAAATGGTTTTTTTTACTAGGTATGGTTTTCGTACTAAGCCACATCTCTGGTTGTCAGCACGACCTAAACTAGGAATGAGACAAGTTACTATTACACACGTTACTGAATGGATAGAGAAGAAACTAGAACAAGAATTTCAGGCTAGTATTAATTATAGTTTTTTATTTCACTATTTATTTGGAACCAGTAATTTGACACATGTGTTTTTCGAATTGTCAATGAAAGATAGTATTACCTTATATATTACTTGCAAAGTGTGGACAGTTATAAGTGCATAAGATCATTTATCCAAATGCATGTGTTCCAATATTTGTACTGTAAAATTTATATAACATTCCTCTAAGTCAATATGTCAAGTTTACTCAATCACGATGTACCACACTTTTTATAAAATCCGCTTGACCTTTGACATCAGCCATCATCTTGAACTACTGGATTCTGCCGTAAATTCGCCCATCTAAAAAATCGCCCTGGGCGGTTTCACAGCTGGTGGGCCCTTATTTGGGGTTCAAAATTTCACAAAAATGATCATCAAATATTTTTGTGGGGCTTATATTTTTATAACGAAAGTATATTCTAAAAGAAGTTTCAAATAAAAATGAACCCAACTGCATTGCTTAGTACCAAATGATTGCGATAGTGCAGTTCAGTCATGCTGCATTTCACAATTGTTGATTATTACCTAGTAATGATTATAATAACATGCAAAAAAAATGCAAATAAATTTCAACTTATTTCATCGCATTTTCCACGCACAATGCTGTAGAAATGAATATCCGCTATGTTTTGACCTGGAACAGTGTTCTTTGACCTGACAGGTCAAATCGCTAATTAGCCAATGAAAACTATTGATGATAGCAACGTGTTCAAATTACCATAGCTCATTTAAATATGTTGACGTTATTGAACATAGCATGGAAGAGATTTGCCGATGTTGTTGTACGATCTTTTGGCTTGGATTTTGATGGGAAAGTGGCATGATTTGTTTTGAAATAAAAAAATTAGTTGTTTTCAAAAGATAAACTGAGCATTTAAAGAATAATTTAACTTTGTTTACTGCTCATTGTCGAAACGAAGCTTACCCATTCACGCTAGTCACAATAAACATCAATACACTTGACCACAGTGAAACTTTAAAAGATTAAAATAACACCTTAAAAAACTGCCGTTTAACAACCCAGAGCAAATTTATGGCAGAATCCAGTACTACATCATTACATAGTAACAGGTTGTACTGTACAAGTGGTCAATCCAAATTTTATTGAATATCCTGTATTTTCCTCGTCACATTTGTGTAAAGAATGAAGTTATACACAAAATTTTCATAGAGGATATGTAATGATATCAGATTTATTAAACAAGTGTAGTAAAAATTATCACTCAAGTTTAATAAATCCGAAATTATGAGTAACGAATTTTTATATTCTTTTTATCACATGTATCTGATTAGCAATTATTTCCTCAATAGAAATTAACATCACTTTTGCGTGTGCGCATCCTAATCGTATACTGTAGGATACTTTATTTTCGCTTAGAATTAATTTTCGCTATTTTCGCTGAAGGAATGATTCAATGAAAATAAAAACCAGTGAATATTCCTTTTTTCTTATATTATACATTCAACTTGTCCAAAATCAGTAAAAATAAATTCTATACAAAGCACAAAAAATTTCTTTTCAGCGAAAAATTAATTCCAGCTAAAATAAAGTATTTTACTGTATGTCAGATCTCATTTACATATCAAAATGTACCACTCCTTGAACACAGTTTTACCGTCCGTTTATTGCCTGTGATTTTACGGCAAATTGCGATATCACACTTATTTTTGCCAAAGAAAAGGAAGTGAGTTAGATGACATTTGTTTATTCAAAAACAATGTAGATATTTTTTCTCATGCCACACTCTCGTAAAATACATGTTTCTATA